GGGGGGGGGGGGTTCCTTTAAGGGTTTGCGGGGTTTAGGGATCATATAAGGTTCAGGGATTCTCCAGGGGCGCTGAAGGCAAAACCAGCAACAACAACTAAAACGTGCTCAGCCACAGTAGCAAGATTCGTAGTGGTACGATATTGGACATCGTAAAATCTCGCTGCTGCTGCGGTGCACGACGACGACTACTCTGTACACGAGCGGCGACGATGACGAAGAGGACTAGTACCTACTGCCACCGCCCACTACCCGACAGCCAAGTATGTACCACTTGCTCTTTCTACGTGCTGCTTCCGAGACATCGGCGACCATGGTGTCATACCGCAGCCAGTATGTGCATACATGAATGTATGTGCATGTGAGCATACTAATATGTTCATGCACATGTTACATGTGTGAGCCCCACTCACACATGCACATACACTTGCAAATACCTAATCACATACAGACATGCATACATACATATGTGCTTACTTCCTGACTTCCTTCCTTACTTACATACACACGTATACGATTATCTACCTTCGTACATCCGTACATAAATCCAGACAACAAGACAGACAGACATACGGACGGACGGGGGTTGCTGTGCGCGCATCGTTGCATGTATCTGCACCTGAACAGTTGTGCCGAAGCAGTATTGTGCAGTAAGTCGGTCTGTTTGTTTTTGTGCTGCTGCATCTGTAGTCGAGGTGTTTGTTTCTGACATAGTCTTTGAACGTCCATGCAGGGCTGCAAGTTTGCACGCAAGTGTTTAGTGTTGGGGATGTGCGATGGTGTTAGGGTGTACCTTTCTTCGCATGCTCAAGCCTGAGCGTGGTGTCAAGCACACAAGTTTCATCACAGATGCCAACCATTCATGATATGTTGTCTGCATGCTTGAACTCATGCACATGTGCATGTGTGCACACTCAGCATCACATACATATGGCGTATGCGTATGCATGGAGCTGCTGCTCAAGCAGTCGGTGGTCGCCTAATCAAGGACATGTACGTGTATATGCCCGACCTATGCAAAGGCACATATTCGTCTAGACGGGTGTGTGTGTGTGTGTCTACATATGTGATATGTGCATATTGCATATGCGGTCCATGCTCACATACATACCTGTTTGACGATCATCAACATTTATGCGCGTAATTATGCATGTGTGTTTGCAAACCAAGTAGCGGCCATGTAGTAAATGCGTACTGCAGTAAACCTGTGCGGCATAGACATAAAGTGAAGATGCAATAAGGGAGACAGATCGACCGACGGAATGACCGACGAAGAAACAGACGAACAGACAGACAGAGACACAGACTGTTATTGTAGGGGCCTAAATAATTACCAAAACTAGTTTGGTGTTTCGTATTAATATAATTATAGTATAACGGGCCCCTAAACCCTAGTCAAATTATTGAGGCGCCTATATTAGGGAGGGAGGGAGGGAGGGAGGGAGGGAGGGAGGGAGAGGGAGGGAAAGGATCTCCCGGCTGGTGACTTCTGCGCGGTTCCAAGATTCCTAGGTGTTTAGTAGTAGCCTTTGCCCTTTTCATTTTTTGGAGGTTTCCATTTTGTAAACAAGCATGAGTAGAAAGGTACCCTTGTTATTAAGAGGTTACAGTTTGTTTTGTCTGTTTGTTTTATTTGTAGGAACCCATGAGGTGCCTTGGAGACGGCCATTGCGTTTGGCTTAGAGGAACGAGCTCCCGGTGCTTGGCTGGACTCGGGGCCTTATGGTGGTCTCTTTGGGATGATTCAATCGGTGCTTTCGCAGGCACGGTTTTACGATTTCGGGTTTAGGGCTCAGGGCTTNNGGGCTTTGGGTTTAGGGCTTAGGTTGATTCAATCGGTTCTTTCGAAGGCACTTGGCAGGAGACTTGGCGACTTCCTCGCAAGAATTGTCTTTTTCTGGGCCCAAGTCTTCACGGGCAACCGCGTGGACGTCTTGAAGCCGTTGGTGTTGCTGCACAACTGCACTCCTGGGAACGTGCGGAACGTGCTGATTGCCCAGAGCACGTTGGACGAGGTCGTCCCAATCAAGTATGCAGGAATCGCTATTTCGACTCTGTCTGGGCTTCCCAGCTGCTATTCGGTGCGCACCTTCACGCCCCCACAGTACTGCAATGGTGCAACGCATCATCAAGAGATGTGGGAGTTCCCAGATGACACCCGGCGCAAGCTCTGCGATTTCTGGAGCAGCACCTTCAAGCAAGATAAGGCCCCTTGCAACCTAAACCCTAAACACTAAAC